GTCTTTTAAGTAATAAAGTGATACAAGTACCGAGTATCGTCTATATGGATCGTAGTAAAAGCTTAATAAACATTGAATGAATGAAATGGTTTCAGATGATGATTATGAAGACTTTGATTGATTGTTGAATTAACAATTGCAACTAATAGAGTAAATAAAAGTAGCATGGATGTAAGACTTATGGTAAAACATAAACACAAATTCCAGCAGACAATGTTGTAGGGATGCTACCGCAAGCAATCAGCCATAACTAGTTCCACCATTTATTTTGAGGGTATTCCTCATGAATTTCAAGATTGCATTAATGCTTAGCTTTTAACCCATATTCCTACGTGGTATCAGGACCAGCGATGGTGCAAAATGTGTCCTTAAAGTATATGGATTAACAAATTCATTTGTCTAAAAATCACTCTTCCGAGCTGATTCCCATATCATTCAAGTTGGGTGTGTTCTTACTGGCTCATTCTTGAGTCTACTACACTTTTAACACTTTGATAAGCACCCAAGCCGTCGAGAATAATCAATTTGAAAACACATAGATGACAAATTCCCTTATCAGTAACTTTTTCAAGTCTACTTCCCATATCATTCGAATTGATGTGCATTCAGTGGCTCATTCATGAATCCACGCCACTTTAACACTTTCAAAGTAACCAACTCATCAAGAAGTGTTTTTGGTTTTGTAAAACTTGAATGAATTAATGGTCGAGGCTTATGGCGTTCAAGCACACCGTTATATAGAAACTTATGAGTAAATACCCCTACATGTATAATTCTCTTTATTTATATAAATTATAAAGTAATATAACGACATTGTTTTAGTATACTTTTGTAATAGTCAAAAGGATGTGTGTTTAAACATTGCGTCTATTGGAAATCATGAGTTTTGACGACCTAAAAACATCCAAGGTTTTGAACATCAAAACTCAAAAGACATATTGATAACAAATTATTTAAAAAGATCTGTGAATTTTTTAGTCAACTTACATGCACTGACTAATGCTAAATGATCATGAATAGCTCGAAGTCATCGTATACGAACTCTAACAGCGTTTGAATTCGAACTCGAGTATATGAAATTTTCCATTATATCTCTTTGACCGAAGTGGTTAAGATTTTAATATCCAAGACATGTGAATTTTAATGTTATAAATAAATAGATATAAAAGGAAAGCAAAAGCAAAAAGAAGAAAAATAATAATTAATAATTGAGTATTAATTAATATATGGTGAATTGGCAGAATATTTATGAAAAGCCCACAAACATTTAATATTGTTGAATAAATCAATGGTTTTGATCAAGAAAGTAATGATTAACGAACAATTAGTTGACAATGATTTCAAAATTACGTGCTATTTTATAATAAACACGTAATTTTATTATTCTATTAAATATTTAAATTGACCAACAATATTTAAATTAAAAATGATTCAACTACAACTTTAAATCAGATTAAGGGGTCGTTTACTAGATGCTTACCCGGTAAGTAGTTATCCAGTAAGAGCGATGATAACGATGGAGAGTCTTACCCGATAAGTAAGGGTGGCGACTTTAATCCGGGTAAGCACTTTACCAGGTAAATTGTTGTACATGATACGTTTTGATGTACTATAATCTTACCCAATAAAATAAATTATAGTGTTGACTCCTAAATTCAATTAATTTTAGGTTGATAATTATTGATTTGATTCTTTTGATTTGAAAACAGATTAAACAACCCCACATTCAAATTTTTAATATACTTTTTTAAAGTATAAAATATACATAAAACAAAAAAACATAACAATTTATCAAGTATTAAAAACTACTTTTGTTTTATATTTATATTTTTTTTATTAACCTAGATATCCAACCCGCTATGCGAGCCGATTAATCCCAGTACGATCATCTGCTTTATAAATAACCCGGAATCACTGCATTTGAACCTCCGTGGCCACAAGAGAATTTTTATTTCTCATTGTATTTGAACTTGAGATCTCCAAACACTTTTGACATTTGAAGAGTAAGCTCAAACCAATCAGGTTGTGGTTTGCTTTTATTTATTTATGGTCAAAAAAAATCAAAATGTAATGAAATGTCAAGTTGTCGGGTTATTTTATAATTGTTGATTGCTTGCCTTCAAAATGTTACTGATGTAGTTGTAATATTCAAAATGGTAGTCTGACTTAATAACATTATTTTCTTATTAATATGAAATTCATGACGGTATGGTTTATGTGTTCCGGTTGGGTCTACAACTTGAGCCTTATAACTTATAAGGAGCTCACAAATCTACTTCTCTATTCATATGGGATGAGTTTTTCGTACTCCCCGCTTAAAATTCATGACACCCTCGTCAGACTTGTCCATAATCTCCATCTTTGTAATCGACGATGTGGAATTTGCCTAAGATAATACAAATACCCACTGGAGGACTCATCATGTCTGATGACGATGAGGTTTGCGCCACCATTCCAATGGTACAAACATCATCTTTGATATTATTTGTAACGCCTCAAGCCCAAAGCAACAGTCTGACTCAATAACTTCTAAACCAGCTTGAAACCATGGTTGAAGTTAGTAGTAACCTACAACTTGAGACTTATAAGAAGCTTACCAATCTTATTTTTTATCCATATGAAATGAGTTGCTACAGTAACATAGTCTCAAAAACCGATTTATCCTAATAAAATCCGCATGAAAAAAGAGAGTCAAACACTTGTTACACTAAGGGCCCGTTTACCAAATGCTTACCCGATAAACACTTTTTTTTGAAGTATATAATATTTATATACGGCAAATGCAACAAATAAACTCACACACCACCTCACCTTTGGTGAGGTTTGAACCCTTGACCTCCTAGGAGACCAAAGACTACGATACCGTTAGACCAAATGCTCTTTGGTTAAGCACTTACCGGATAAATGTTTGGTAAACAACCCTAACTAAAAAAAACTTAAACATTGGACTACATAAGAATCAAAACATTTATGAAACTAGATTTACTCATGATTTTAATTTACTTTAAAAAACTAAATAACAATTAAGACAAATTTTCTTAAATCTTGATATACCTTTCCTTTTATTCATTAATGAATAGAGGATAATAAAGCAATACTTTAGCTTTAGCTTTTGGTGAATATTGGATTCCAATCTGGACTGGTCTATGGGCTTGGGCCCAACAAGTATGCTTTCAAGTTTTTTAAGATTGTTTTATATTTCAATCTTGTCTTGTCCATTGTCATTAACTTTTCAAAGTGTTGATGTTTGTTTTTTTTAAACATTTGATATGTTTAAAAAATAAAAAAGAGTTCTATGTAAATATGTGGGCCATGTTAAAATAAATATTAAATTATAATAATCATATAAATAAAACCGTGCTCTGTAAATTCTATGTTGATGATATGACTGAACGAATACATAATGTGCTGGTGCAGGTGTACAGTAACAAAATTGGTAAACAGTAAACTTCATAATCATGATATATTCTATGGACTGGCAATTTCAAAGAACCGTGCATAAAGTTTATCATCGTGTGATATGTCCATATATCGAGTAAAGCACATGAAGTAATATTATGCCATTACAATTCATACGAGTTCTTAGTAGTTTTCTAATAATTAATTATATTATATCAAGCAAATATGTTTTAAAAAATGTATGATACTGAACATTTATAATGCATGCTAAACTTACTGACAATATTGGTTTATAAATAGATTTGGATCAACCATAAGGGTAGTGCCTGATTGGTTTGAGTTTGGCTCCAAAGATCAAAAGTATCGAGAGGTCTCAGGTTCAAATTCAAGGAGAAATAAAAATCCCCTTATGGCCACGGAGGTTCAAATACAGTGATTCCGGGCTATCTGCAAAGCAGGTGCCCGTCGCCCTGAGATTAGTCGGCTCGCATAGGAGGTTGAATATCCAAGTTAATAAATTAAAAAAAAAAGATTTGGATCTCCCTAATTTTTTCTTGACTTAATGGGAGGCCAAACTTATTTCTATTCAAAATAGATTGAGCCTTATCCATATACAAATTGAAAAATGCACTCATCTCGTTCGATAAGAAGCTGGACGTTTTTACAAAGTATGATAACCATCTTGTAATTTCGATACTATAAGGACAAAAAGTGTTATCTCTGACAAACCACGGGGACCAAATTTGTAGTTTACTCTAAAAAGAAGTAGAAGAAATGTTTGATCCCGCACAACTTTTCCTCCTATATTCATGGCACCACTATTTCAACATATTTGAATTAATAATCTATAACCATATTCATAATGAATACTAATTCAAATAAATGGTTTCACAATTCTTAAAATATTTATGATCTTCATATCATATCATATTCAATAAATTATGAGATAAACGGTTAATGCACAATTTCATTTACTTATTTCTTTATACACGGATCGGATTAAAACACAAGAGGTTGTATTGTAATAGCCATTTAAACAAATCAACTTGGGCTTTTGAAATTGTGCAAATGTTGGGCTTGTAAATGGGCCCAAATCCTAAACACTAAAAAAACTCCAAGCCAACTTAGGGGTTGTTTACCAAACATTTATTCGCTAGGTACTTGTCAAAAAGAATTCAACACTAATACTTACTTAAAGTACTTGTCAAAAAGAATTCAACACTATTACTTACTTAACGGGTAAGAGTTTAGTCAACAAAAACGACTTCATATGCAACAATTTACCCGGTAAACACTAACCATGATAAGAGGCGTTGTCTTCACTCACGGGTAAGATTTTTGGTTATTGTCATATTCATGTTCGCCCACTAGAGATTTTATTTCCTATATTTTATGGGTTTCATGCCTCCATGGTATTAATCAAGGTGGAGCCAAATTTACTGAATACCAATGTTTACCAAAAAAACGACGAGATTGAAGGGCAACATCCGAACTTTGCTTACAAACTTGCGCTGAACAGGGGAAAACTTTCATTTCACCAGGGCTATTCAAGAAAACCGATGCAAAAAACCAAATTAAACCGGACGGTCTGGACTGGAAAATAGCCAAAACCGCGAGGTCTAACCCCTTTTTAACAAATACATTGATTGATATCAAGTTCATGACAGTTCCTCCATTTGCATACATACACAATTCAAATTCACCATATGCAAGTGTTCATCAGAGAGAAATTATCACACAAATGATGGTGATCCTGCTCATAATTCATCCCAAATCATTCCAAATTGCTCAACTAAAAAGGAATCAAAGATGGGTCTTTCTTAAAATCTTTTATCATAGTCATAAAATTTCATTTCAAAATTTTCCTTCCAAAATCTTCATTCCATTGCCAGTTTTCTGGCGACACCTCACCACCAAGTGACAGGATCACGGATCCACCGCTGCAAGACCCAACTATGCAGCATTCCTCTAGGGACAATCCTTTCACCAGCCCGTATAAAAATCCAGCGGCAAAAAGGTCTCCTGCCCCAGTGGCATCAACCACCTTTGTTTGCCCGATAGCCGGAACTCTCACAATCTGGATTTTTCATAAATGTACTTAATAAAAATACATTTCTAGAATGGAATACCAAAACCAAACAAACCCCATGAATCTTTAAGGGTCAATTCAATTGGCAAATCAGGTTAGGCCCTGGGGCTCCGTCCTATAGGTCTCCAGTTCCAGTCTCCTTAGAGCCATGGAGGATCTTTCTGGCTGTTATCTTTAGGAGTCCATGGGATTAGTCAAGTGCATGCAAACTGGCACAGACACCCACGGTTACCAAAAAACCAACCCTGTGGATCCCACACAAAGTGGAGTCTAGGGAGGGTAAGATGTATGCAACCTTGTCCTCTACCCCAAGGGGTAGAGTCGTAAATAGACTGTTTCCATGCATTCTAGAACGGAATACAAATTCAAAAGGTAAATGTTGAGCTGGTGGTGCAGAATTTGGAGGCTGACCTCTTTCTTATATCTTGCGATACACCCATTTGCACCTAAGGTGACCACGGCCCATTGGCAGTATTTCCCCAAGACATCAAGTGCAGCCTCAGGTCGAGCAACTTGCTCACCACTACAATAATAATAAAAAAACATCAAACACACAAAAGACTATGGGTTACTCTTTGCAACATGTCAAAAAATTGCTCGTAGTATTTAAATTAAATCAACTAAAACGTCACCTTGAAGTTAATTCAGCAGCTTCATCTTCATTGGCAAAACAAAGATCTATGTTACCTGACTCCAGTAATTCTAGAAGAGGTTTTCTAAATTTCCGAACCATCTGCCCATGTAAATAGAATGTCGAATAATATGTTAAACTAAGAAGGATTCAAAGAATCTATCATTGATGATTCCTAGATGCAACTAAGATGACATCGAAAAGTTATGCATGCTTCTGTAGCAAGCAAACAATGTCTCTTCATATGTGAATTTGTTTTAAGGTCTAAAGAGTGAAAGAAGAACATAAATAGAAGTTTACCTCAAAACTGGCCAAATCTAGGGATATAAGAAGACCTTCTTGTTTGGCAATTCTAATAGCTGCATTAATAACTTCTAAATTGTATATACTGTATCTCAGCACCAACCACTGTAACATAAATATATAAAGAAAATTAGCGAATTGACTCGGGGGAATACCATGATCTTTCAAGATTTCCAAGGGTTGGAAAGCAAAATATTTTGTATACAGTCTTCCCCTAGCAGTTTGGAAAGTGACAATTTTCGCAACTTGAACCCATGATCTTTTAAGATTCAGGTGATTGAATTTATGGACGGTAATATGATAACACGCTTTTAAGATTCAAGTGACTGTACTTTATAAAGCCTGATTGCCGTCTGATCGAAACTAGTTTATTGGTGTTTCATAATCACCAAAGAGTTAACCAAACGAACTTGGAGGTGGGGTTCAGGGAGGGTAAGATATGCGCAGAAATGCCGTCTAACTCAAAGAGTAGAGCGGCTTGTGAAAAATGTGTAAAAGAGAGAAAAGAAGATAAGCTTAAAATCTTGAAAAGCTGGATATAAATAAGCAAGGGACCAAAAACACGTTGTCATCCTTCAAATTTATCTCAACAAGCTAGCTGAACATAATTCTGATCCAAGATCGAGCTATATATGCTGTTCTACTAATCGAGAAAGAGGCGATGGATACATTTAATTCAAAGATAGATGCTGTATACCTTGGAACCTTTAAAATCCTCCCTCTTCAGTTCACCTGCCTGAATAGACAAACCATAAGTCTATCTTCACGAAGAATATATAAGAATTCGGACAACTATATATAAAAACTAGAATGCACCTGTATATTAGCAGCAGTGGCAATGCAGGGTCGCATCGTACGATTGCCCAATGGATCAACCAAGCAAACACACTGTGCCATATCAGCTAATAGAGTTTTAGCACTTACGCGTCAATCCTTTTCCCGATCCCACACCAAAAAATCCATTTTAATGTCAAAAACATTAAAGGGAAGTGTTGTCGAGCGTTTTTTATGAGGCTCACCTGACCAGTATGTTCATCTTTCACCCTCAATTTTGATATGTTTACACCATGAAAGCTCATGTTTTTCACGAACAGGGCACCTTGTTCGTCATCCCCACAGGCTCCAATCACGCCACAAGAGATCCCAAAACCCGCTGCAAGGCCTCTAATGGTGTTGGTGACACTACCCCCAGCTATAGTCTTTACAGGAGGCAGATCGTTCGGAGAAGATAAAATATGGGTATCGACCTGCCTAAGTATATCTTTCAACTCCTCAGCTAAAACCTACAAAAAGAGAGATTTTTCTTGCATAATTCCCATGAAAATTCATCGTATCTTCAATCTGTAAGCTAACTAGTAACAGAAGTTCTAACAGGATGCAAATCTATCATCATAAAAGAACACAAAAAGACATATTATCCCTTTAAAAGAAAAGGGGTTAACCGTACGATCATGTTGGATTGGTGGTAAGTTAAAATAATTACAAATCGAACACTCCTTATCAAAATGTGATATGAACATAGTCCAGGAACCCTAGTTTAACACAGTCACTCTTGAAGTTTGCACAATTCCTACAATCTTGATGATGTTCATCCTAAAAACTAAATCTGCCATATTCAATAATTGCATTATTGCCAAAAAAAAATGATGAAAGTGCCAAAAGAATTTGGCAGTGGGCGATGTGGGTAAGACAAGGCTTATTTTTCTTTTTCAAAATCTTATCAAAGATTCTTGTAAAGTAGTTCTGTCTTTATCCAGCTTACAGTTTCTGGGACCTATATGTCTTCTGTCAAAAGATGAACACTCAAAAAGATGATGGAACTATGAACAATTAGCATACTTAAATCATATCAGAATGCCAAATCTAGTGGGAAAACTCGAAAACTAGTAGAGAAGATCATACAATGGTAATATTTGAACAAATGTCATTGACATATGGTGATCTTAAAAGATCAAGAAACCCACTAAATTCAGTTAATAACTTCTAATGCAGGACAAAGAACATACATGAATAAAGATCCTTCAATTCAAACTAAAGCAATTTCGAATGGTATCCCTTAATATGATTTCATGAAAAGCCATCATGAAGGCTTCACATGCTTGTATCATACAAAGTACGGTAAGTACCAATGCTCTGGTCTTTTACACACTAAAAGCACACAGAGCCTTCACCTGTGCTGGATTCCCTCATTCTAGAAAAAAAAAAAAAGGCAAAAGCCCATCGAGTTTTACCCAGAAAGGAATGAGATTTAAGCAATTGATTACATGGTTTTTTTTTATTTTAATCAGCTAAACTAAACACACAATTATAGAATTGAACAAATTAAGAATCAAGAAAAGTAAGTGAGAGAGTGTACGGGGAAAGAACCACCAGGTTCGCCGGGAATTCTCGAGAGGATTGATAAATCAACCCTTGCTATGTGGTCAACTAGTGCCGCCGGCAGGAGGCCGAGTATGACCGGAGCAGCCTCACAATCGCCGGAGAGATCATAATCATCCTTATTCTCACTGGGTTTTGGGATAAATTCGGCACCCATAATTGGGGCTTTTGTGTTCTTGTGGGAGAAAGATTGCTCCGTTATCTCTCCCTGCCGATTATTGATATAGATTTCTTCTTGTTTATATAGCCATTTGATCTTCGTAACCCCCCATACTAATTACTAATTACTAATTAATGCTTAATCTACAAATTTAGGCCCCATGCTTTTCATTAACTTACATTTTTATTTCGTTATAATTTCCGTCCATCTACGAGATTTTTTTGTAACTATGGATGTCTGTACTGGTTAATGGCATGTCGACTAATCTTGTAGGATGTTGAAGTTAACCGTCAAGTAATCTTCTAATGAATCTGGGAAGATTTGAACCGATGTTTCAACATATGTAATCCACTTTAAGAGCAAATGCCGATTAAATGATATCACATGTTGTGCACATGACCGTTTTAAAAAGGATAAAAGAGTAATTTTCACACATACCATCGTTTGAGCATGACGTTGTACTCATGAACTCTTGTTGGAACTTTGACGTCCATGTTCTCTTTTTGCTTATCTCTTTATATCCTTATCCAATTCCACTTGAATGTAAGAGCGACACCCTTTTCACAACTTTAAGATTTTTAAATTGAAAAACATAAAGGAACGTTTACATACTCATTTTAGAAACTTAATGAAATAGGATAATTCAACAAATTTTTACTCCTCAAAAGATCTTAGCCAAGGACTCGAATCAGTCACTGGGTGAAGCTGATTCCAACAACTAGTCGTTGAAAGGCTGGCCACTTTTGCTTAACTATTCATGTTCTTAGTCTATAAGTTATTTATAGGAAACACACATAATCTTCACTTTTCTGTATGCAAATGCAAAATGTTACAAAATATTTCAAATGGATATAAAAAATATTTCAAATCTCGTAACACCTTCCTAGATCCCAAGAAGGTGTTACGGGATTTAAAATGCTAAATGAATAAATCAGGTGTTACGGGATTTAAAATGCTAAATGAATAAATCAACCATTCAAATAAATAACAAAGAATACGAAAGTCTCAAACCATTCAAGGCATTATATCAACTAAATTAATACAATGGGATTTTATTAAGGTGTCGTTTACTAAACGCTTATCCGGGTAAGCTCTTACAAAATCACTTTATTTTACCGGATGAATATGACAAGGACTAAGAATCTTACCCTGTAAGAACGAAGGCAAGAATCGAGAGTCTTACCTCGTAAGCGAGGGCGACCACTCTTATCATAGTTAGTGCTTACTAGGATAAATTGTTGCAGACGATGCGTTTTAGTGAATAAAATCTTACCCAGTAAGTAAGCGATAGTGTTGAATTTTACCGATAAGTGTTTACCGGGTAAGTGTTTAGGTAAACGGTCCCTAAGTTTGAACAAACTATTTCGTCCTGCCACATATTAGTTATTATAGCAAAATCAACAAAGAGCATTTCAAAATGAAACTAAATTAATCCAAAAAGTTGTGTCTCGTGCAGGGGTGTGCATTGGCGGGTACTCGCCCTATTTGACAGGAACCAGAACCGGCAGTTCTTGAGATATTGGAACCGAAACCGGTTAGAGCGGTTCTTGAATTTTTGGAACCGCAACCGCCGGGAACCGGTCCGGTTCTGGGTACCTGCTTCCTAAAATATTAAAATTTTGTTATTTAGAAATAAAAAATAAAATATTACCAAAACATTAAATAAATAAATAAGAATACAAATTATACGGAATAATGTTTATAAATATTGTTTAACGATCACAAACCATAATAGATTAATAGTAAATGTTGAAAGTTTAACGATTACATACTACAATTGTAAAGGCTCAAAATTTAACGATTACATTTTACGAATCCAATTAAACACACAATTTTAAAAAATACGAATCATTTTATCTCAAATTCTGAATCTAGAGTTCTAAGTTCTTGACCTAATCTAAATTTAGTATTTAAAAAAAATTAATTATTATTTTTAATTGAAAAATACCGGGTACCCACCGGTTCTGGTTCAGGGTACCCGCCAGTTCCGGGTACCCGGTCCTGGAACCGGTCCCGGCGGGTAACGGTTCCAAAAAATTGAAAACTGGAACCATTCTCAATCGGTTTTGTATTTAAGGAACCGGAACCACTCATATCAATTCCGGTTCCGGAACCGACAGTTCCAAAGCAGTTCCGGTTCCGTAAGCGGGTACCCGGTTCCGCTGCTCACCCCTAGACTCTCGTGTGTGTATTTCCTGAATATAAGACATGTGTCAATTACAAAGGTTAGTGAGTTCATGGTTAGCGTGGAAGAATACTGATATAAGCATTGCAATTAATAATAGTGAACAAAACCAATAGCATAAGAATTATAAAGCATTATTCACTTGTGTTGTACTAAAAGCTCAAAATTAATTTCCGGTAAAAGGAAGCTAGACTCCCAGATATTCTACAATATTGAAACATCGTACATAAACAACATGTACTAAACATAAAGGTTTTATCTTAAGCATACATATAATGTGATAACAACTAACCATTCACAAGGCATAATACACAAATTCATAAACAAAAGCATATAACATACATCGTATAAACTAAAAGCATGTCAGTTTTATATCCTCTTAGGAACGAGTCATGAAAACTCACCTAGATTACCTAGTGTGTAAAGAACGAGCTGATTGTGTGAGTTGGTATGAAACCATGCACCTACACAATGCAACATTGGTTCTAAGTATCCATAAGAACTGCTAATCGGCACTCCTTACTCATTAATAAATGTCAAGTCAAACATTGAAGTCAAAAGGAATGAGGCCGACCCGAGGGTCCACACGACATTGGTCGCGACCTTAGAGGTCTTTTAGGACCTCACTTGTAACACCCTCTTTTCCATTCCAAGGGGGTTGCGTCATTCATATATAAATCTATAATAACTAGTTGAACAACCATCAATATAGTAATCCAAAATCTCCAAACCGAAGTAAATCTCACAATAGCAATCTAAACACACCAAAACATACCTCAATGTCTATAAGATAGTTTGTCCCATACCGGACTAGAACATATAAAATATAAATACTGAAATCGAAAGCTAAATAACATTCTCACGGTCCAGCCATGCCCCTTACCCTTTTCTAGTTTGAAAGCGTCTGCCTTTGATATGCATGCAACTACTCAACTATAAAGATTAGTGAGTTCATGATTTCATGCATAAGTAATAACATTCATATCATAAAATCTCATGTACATAATACTGCTATAAATACGTACTCCTAATTAAAATATTTATCAATTAAAAAACAAGTTTAATCTCATAAATAATTATATGGTATGGTTTGCTACCCTACCCTTATTGTCCTAATCCTCAAAGCACACACCCGTATACTCAAATCCTGCATCACAGTTGCGAAATCATACATACCACAAAAACACTTCTTAAAGCACCAGGAGGTCAAAACCACAAGGGTAGTGCCTGATTGGTTTGAGCTTGGCTCCACAGGTCAAAAGGCACCAGGAGGTTCCAGGTTCAAATCCAAGGAGGAATAAAAGTCCTCTTGTGGCCATGGAGGTTCAAATGCGGTAACTCTGGGCTATCTGCAAAACAGGTGGTCGTCCTGGGATTAGTCGCTCGCATAGCGGGTTGAATATCCAGGTTAATTAAAAAAAAACACTTCGTAAAATATGTGCAACTGTCAATTATACATGCATAATGAAATAAAGCCATTAAATAATTTAGCAAACATGTCTCCTAGTTACACCACATATACATGCAATATATAACATATATCCACATAATCCTTTAGAACCTCACTTAACATAAAGGTTCATGCATAACATATATTTTATTTATATAAATAACTTGTGTCACATGGTAAATCTTATGAAAAATCACATGATTGTACAACTTAGTTAACCTTCATCACATTCGAAGAATAACCTACACTGTAAGTATCGATACTCCTCATTAGTGCCTCACTCTACCAAAAATTCAACCTAAAATTCAGAGCTAGATCAAAAGGTAAACCCTAGTAACTTTCATCATTGTGGTTAACTTTTAGTCAATTGGTCAATCCAATTCACAAGATCGAATTGTTAAGACAAAAAAAGAAGTCAAACTGGACCCTACATCGCCAAACCGGAATGGATCAAGTTATGTCAAATGGGTCAAGACGGGTCGAACCAAGTTAACTGGACCAAATCAGACTGAATGGGTCAGCCATGTGCCCAACATGACTTTCTATGTAAGGTCCCCAGCTCATGGCGTTCTTGGCTCAAGTGAGTTTGGGCTCGCACCTACGTAATCCCCCAAAAAGCTTAGGCTCGCACCTAAGCTTGCATGCCACCTATGTGCATCTTCTTAATTTTGTTATGCGTACAACTATGCTAAGGCCTCCAAGAATCGATTCTAAACTACTTATAACCATTTTATTTGCATAGTAACCTATCACCCATTCCTATTGTTTCTTTACCAATTTCTCAACATGATATAACCATTCCATGAATCAATTTCGAGTTTTGGAGTATTGGTTATGTTGGTCATGGAATGTAATGACTAACACATGGTGTGCTTGTAGATAGGGGGTTGAATACATACACAATTTTTTTTTCATTTTTTAATTATATATTTTGTATTAAAACAAGAATTACATATTTGACGCAGAAGCTAGGAAGGTAAAAACTGATCATAAACAATTTGACTGGTGACAAATTTGCTAACAACTGAAAGAGTGAGAGAAGAAAGTACTCTTTGTTAATCCTCTCTCTCATTGATTTGATGATAATCYTTTTTACCCTATTCGAAGTATTTATGTTTCTGTTTTCAGTTCTAGCGATCATCACTGAGTCTGTTCAGTGATCGCTGAAAAACTTGTATTGCAAATCCAATCAGCGACAGCGATACTTCATGAAGACAAAACTCACATCAAAGAACTTTTAGCGAAAGTCGAAGATTGAAACTGAAGATTAGAGACTGGCAAGTACGTGATTTGAAGCGGTATTCAGTGATTACAGCCTTGTCTACATATGTATGAAGACTGCCCAAGCCTCAGCGAATGCTGAAGAGACCTTCAGGTTATTCCAACATTCAGCGATCAAAAGAAGCTTGTTGAGCAC